ACTCGCAAAACACGTCGACTGAATTTGTATGCAGAAGCGGAAGGAGGTGTAAACAGTGATGCAGCGCCCAAAGAAAATGGTGCCGCAGCGGCCCAGTCATCATCTTTGGCTGCTGTTCAATACTTGGATTTGCCCGTGAATGTTAAAAAACAGTTGGCCAGTGAAACGATGTTAAGCAGGTTAGCGTTTCATGGTTGGCCAGCACGAAGTCACTCTACCATTGTTGAGCACCTGTCGGTATTTTGAAACGCACCAAGTACTGCCCTTCACCAGCCTGGCTTGAATCTTTTCAATTTCGTTTGGAAATAATCCGGATATTCAGAAGGAGGAGAGATTTGTCCAATAAATTTCCCGTCTCGTGAGAAGTCTTTTGCCGAAAACAAGCATCACAAACTGTAAGACGGCTAGGTCAGAATGATACCTTGCCCATCTCTTTTAGCTGTTTGTTAGTGGGAAAATCCTCCAAGTAAAACCGCAAAAAATTTTTCTAAGCAGACAAAACAAGTGTGCAAGTTGTAAAGGATTACAGGATGACAGATATTCGGACTGTACACCATTATATTCCATTCAACAAACGTATTGGTAAACCACTGCAACTTCCTGTGCAAACGCTCGAACAATTCGCTGAATGCAATTTTAAGGTTTTTAAACAAAGATTTGTAAATTGCTTGCCTGGACTATACTGTGACATACAAATTTTATGGATAACACAATGTTTTTTTTGGACTGATAACGCAGGTTTTAATTTGTTACGATAATACGTCTCCAGATGTGCACAAAAATCCAGAGAATATTGAACTTAAGGGATTGAAATGCATGTTGCCTCTATTATCATGCAGAACACCAATATGACCTGAAGCAAGAATAAAAGAAAAGACCATCAGCGAACTATTACTAAGTGGCGCAACACTAGTCCAAATATCCGAAACTACCAGATGTACAGCTTTCGTGGCAGTACTACACTATCACCAAAGTATCTAAATAGATAATTATTCTTAAGTTTAAAGCACTGCAAATAAATCAAGCTCTTGTAGCAGATTTCACAAATAAAGCGCTGTTGGCGTAAAACAGCTAAGAACGGCGAAAAAATCTAAAATTCTGAAAAAATAAGAGTCAAACATAAACTCCCTCACAGTCCGAGCACGTCCGATTATTTGAAGCAACATTTCGCCAGTTGTGATTGATGTCTAGCAAATGCGCTTTCAGGGTCACATATTGGAAGTACGTCGCGAGCCGATCGCTAGCCCGTTCCTGCACAAGGATACTGAGGATGAGTATTCAAAATCACTAGAAATGTTCGCGATGATTCTGCGCTATATGAATGACACGCAGCTGAATTGCGAACAGCTGGCAATTCTTGGAAAAGCGATCATTCAGATGGTAATATATGCGTTATGTTTAAGCTCATCCAGGCTCGGTTCGGCAAAGCTAGGCGTTTTTACACGTCCTAAAAGCAACGAACACAAGCGATGGAGTCGAATATTTATTTGTTGCTTTCTGGCAGATTGCCTAAATCAAAAAGCTCCCAACATCTTAAAGTGATCTGCTAGCATAGCAAGGAACTAATTCGGCACTGGCCTTTGTTTAGACACATGTTTAGCTTCAGCGTTTAGCTTCGCTTCAAGTGCTTCACACGTTTAACTTCACGTGTTTAGCTCCACGTGCTAGATGATTTTGGGCCTGACTGAATCGATGCCGGGGACACCTATATAAGATTCTGCGAAAAAACTTACATAAATGCCAGACTAGTTACGTTTTACGCAACATCTGCATGGCGAACGAGGACAGTGTCCTTTGCGTAATGTGGTGCACCAACAACAGCAGCGAGTTTAACAACAGGAGCAGTAGTATATTCCAGAACATTATGAAGAAAATGCGTAAAAAACCGCGCTCTTCCAATCATATTCTGCTAGCGGGTGGAGCAGAACTGCATAGCTTCTTTGATTCATTGAATTAGCATTCTACTGAGGAGTCTACAGGCTCTGGACAGCGTGGATCAGCGCGACGAGCTACTGGTGCAGCTTTGTGCCCAAACGTATCGTAATCGCGTAAAAAACAATGCCGATAAAGCATGGACACTGCTCCTCGGTGCAGTGAACTGCTTTGCACCGTCGCCTCAGCTAGTTCCAGCGCTTATCAGGTGAATTTTTTCGCAGTTCTTAGGTATCTTTTGGACGAGCTTTAGCGGAAATTGAAGGACAGCGAAAGGGGGCGAAGGAATGTGATGGGAAGATTAAGAATAACAGGATATCGTAAAACTTGGGCCAGGAAAAATAAGGAAAGAAAAGAAGATAATGAAACTAAGGAAATGTAACAAGAGACCCGTAGCCATACATATGTCATATTTTATGAGGACTCATGTAAAACCAGTGTGTTTTATTCTTTAAATGTATAGACAGAGCAGGATTTAGATGTTGATGAGGATAGAAACCAGTACATCCCTTTATGCACCATTTGTGTTGAGCGACTGAAAAATTAATGAAGAGTTGCTTTCAATCGCTAACAAAAAATTACAGATTGTGTCGTTTGGTTTGATACTCCTTGAAATGGGCGAACAGCACATTTAGTGAAATCGGTAGCATAACTGCATCAGAACATAGGAAAAGCGAATGGAATGCTGGGGCTGTTACTTAGGTAGCTCAAGAAACAAATTGATTTAACGGTTCAGCAGCAGAGCAACTAGTAACCCAGGCTGGAACGCATCGGGCGGGCCCGTGCGATCATGCGTTTTTGCACCGGACTTGAAGTACTCAGGTCACTAACTGCATGAATGGTTACTGCTTTGCACCTACCTTTTGCGATCATTAGCATAAATCACCATAAATTTTTTATAAAGTAGATGTACATTTTCCATTTAACGATCGTTCTTTAAAAGTAACCTAGTTGCTCAGTCAGACATTCAGCCAAAATTATAAGTGACCGTACGTAAGAGCCACGCGTAACTCAAGGCTGAATTTGGAAT